GGCCCTCACTCACCCGTGGTGCGGAGGCCGGTGCTGCAGTCCACGCCCCGCACGGTCACGATGAGCAGGGCGTGCGAGCGGGAGCTGTGCTGGTTCAGGTTGGTGAACTCCGTGGTGCGGTTGGTGTGGCCGAACTCAAACACCTGGGGAGGGGGACAGAGGTACAGACAGGGCTCGAGCGGGGCCTTGGGATCGCCCCGTCCCCAAGTACCCGCCCCCGGGAGGGTGTCACCCTCTGCGTGGCACCGAGGAGGAAACAGGCTCAGAAAGCTCGGGGCGGGGGCTCCCCACATTCCCCCGCCCCGTCCCCCCAGGTCCACACCTTGTTGATGTCGTCCACGCTCTGCACCCGGAACTCCGTCAGCCCTGGCACGTACAGCTGCCCGCTGCCGTCGGGGCACAGTCGGATCTCCAGCTTCTCCTGGGGCTCCTGCCCCAGCAGGTCCCTGCCGGGGTGGGGGTGGAGGGGACGACAGTCACGCTCTCCTCCTGTGTCTGCTGGCTCTGCACCTGCCCCAAACCTGGAAGGTCCCCCATCCAACCACACCCCTTCCTGGAGACTGGGCTAAGGCCCTCCTCCTCCTTTTCGTCCTCCTCCTCCCTGCACTCAGCCCACTGAAGGGCGGAGACCGACTGTCCCCCAAAAGGCCTGTGGTGGTGCTCCTCCTGCCCCCACAGTGCACTGGCTGCTGTGGACAGGCCCCCCACAGCCCACCCTCACTTAGCACACCTGGGCAGCCTGCAGGTATGGGAGGAGCCTCCAGGGGAAAAGGAACTCCTCAGGTGGGCGGCCCAGGGCTAGGGAGCAGAGAGAGCCCTCCTCCCTGCCCTCCTCCCCTGCCCGTTGGTGGGGGAGGGTGGCCTGGGGCCAAGAAACGCTCTGAGCTGAGTCCTGGTGTACAGCCCCCACTCCTTCAAGGAGACCCATTCCCATCCCACCTGGCTCGACACGGTCCTGAGACCACAAAGCTTCCCGGAGGCCTGTGCGACCCCAGGGCCGCCCACCTGAGGGCTCACACCTGAGAACCACCCACCTGAGGGCCCTCCACCTGCTGGCCTTCC